GGGGATGAAGGCTCTGTGAGGGGGATGAAGGGCTCTGTGAGGGGGATGAAGGGCTCTGTGAGGGGGATGAAGGGCTCTGTGAGGGGGATGAAGGCTCTGTGAGGGGATGAAGGCCCTGGGAGAGGCTGGAGTGGGTTGGGCACCCGCACTGGGGGCAGGATGGATGGAGTGGGATGAAAGTTTGAAGGTTAACAGAGATGAGGGCAGGGGTAGAAGGAACACCTGGTATGTTTTGTATTTATTTCTCACTATCACCCAAATCATTTTTATTTGGGAATAAATGAATTTTCTCCAGTCCAAGTCCATTTGGTCTGTTTTGATTGCCCTGTCATTACCTCACCCCATGAGCTTCTTCACTCTGTGTTCTCTCCCTGCCCTGTGAGGAAAGGAGCAGGTTCCAGTCTCTAAAATTCCTTCTTATCTCTCCTTAATTTACTCTCCAGCTCCTTCTATTACAGATTTCTGCTCTGTTCTTCCCAGTATCTCACTTTATCCAAGCACAGCCATGTTCCCATGTGCATTTCCCAGCAGGACCAAAACATGTTCATGCCACTGCTATCTTCAGCTGCAGAAGGCAAAGGTTTTTTGCACAATAAATTCAGCTCATTGTAGGAAAGTACACAACTGGAATACACAATATGGTCTGTTATGACCAAAACCAATACCTGCTGCTGAAATGTCACAACATCCAGAAGCATAAAAGTAGTGAAGACCTTGTTTTGCTTTGCACAGCTAAGTTAAATCTTCATAGATAGAAAGAAATATATTTTTGATTTAGTGTTTTGCAGGTTTTTTTACAGTTTTTCAGCACATGAAAACACAGGAGGCCTTGAACAGTCACACTAACATGCACTTCTTTCAAGCTTGTGCTTTATCTTCACAATCACCTCTGTTTACTTCAACCTTTTTAAAAGCCAAGATTTCAAATATAGAGAGAAGTGTATACTCACTGTAGTACTGGCAAATCTGAAGTAATCATTTTTGCAGCACTCTTGGAAGTAAGAGCTACATAGAACTTCTTCTCAAAGTTATTACAAGACAACTACTTGGAAACCTCTTTCATGAAAAGAATGTCAAAGTCCAGTCTGTAAGAGAGAGAAAAAATTTTTAGATGTGACTCCAAAATAGTAACACATGGAATAAAATATGCTGTCAACAAAATAGGTCAATTTTGAAGTAGCATCACTATTAAACCACAAGAAATTTAGAATGAATGACCCCAAAACTTGCATGCAGTTTTCACATTTCTATTTAGGTAATTTTGTGCAATTAAATAAAAGTTTAAAAATAAATGTTCTGCATTACCTCCCATACTTGTTTACCACATATATGTGTGTATAAATGGCACTACACCTATTCCATCAGACCCTCTGGCTCACAGCTTTGTGTGACTGAATTTCACAGAATAGTCAGAAGCTGTGCAGCAGAAGGTATTTTAACTTAATGAAACTGAAGTTATAATTTTATATAATAAAGTAGACTGCATCTGTGGTGTCACTACACCCACTAGTAACATTTCTCTACCCAAAAGACTAACCAAGGAGTTGACTAATGGCAGCAGATGTGACTTTACCATTAAATAATAGCACAATGTGACAGATTCAATAATCTTCACTGTAATAAAACACAAAACTGCCATCCTAGTCTTCCAGAAAATGCAAGTTCTGGAGAAACTAAGTAGATTTGTTCCAGTCTCCCCTTTTTTAGGTCCTGGGGTAAAATGAAGACCTGCATGGAGCACTGCAGTTCAGCAATGGCAAGGCATACCGAGGACTCAGCTGTGTGTTTTTAAAACATGGGATATGTTCAAACTCTTTTATTTAAATACTTAATTTCCTCTAGATGGGCTTTTTTTCCCCCATGTTCCAGTAGCTTTGCACAAAGCAGGAGGAAAATCCAGCCAGGAACAGGCAATGTAACCTGCACCAAATGGAGGATCTAAATGAAAGTGCACCCTTCTAAACAAAACAGTACAGTATATAAATATAATTTCCATCCTACTACACACACATCGGTGTTTATTTACCAAACTGTACAGAATGAACAGACTTTTTTGCTCCTCATATTACAGTTCCAATTAGACTCACAGTTGCATACAACTTGTTCTTCCAGTACTTGCTACTTTGTGCTACCACGTTTTGCTTACAGTGCCTTATCATGAAATTTACATTTTTTTATACCATATAATTAGCAAACCATTTTGTTGCAAAACACATGTTAACAAGCCAGAAGTTTGTTTGGAGCTAAACCCACCACTCTAGTATTAATGGTTTAAAGGGGCCAATACATCAGGCTGGTGTAAAAGCTCTCCAGTTTCACTATAAGACAGAAGTTAATCTGAGTTCTCCTTGAAAAAAAAAGTCATATATGCTATTTGTGCTATTTCCATAAGTATTTTTTCATTAGAGACACTGCTCATTACTGTGTTTCAAAGGATGTGATTGCTCTTAACAGGGCAATGACATGTCCAGTCAACAACACAAAGCAACCACTTCAGACAGCGATAAGAATTTATTATAAACAAACACAGCATTAGATTAAGTTCTGAGTTGACTTCCTATATGAAAAAATAAAGGCAACGTTCAGATCTCTCAAAATGGAAAAGTTCACTACAACTGGAACAAGGCTGAAGAAAAAAGTATTTTTTTGTACTCACACAAGCACACACATACACACACTCATGCCAGCTCAAAGGAAACCTACCCATCTTAGATCTTCAGATTATCTAATTCTAGCAACATTCATGGCAATCTTACTTTCCAAAAAAGCTTTCTAAGGAAGTTCAAGGAAATGTATTTCTGCTCCATGTGAGGTATCTTCCATAGACATTTAAGGCAACCTGCACAACTGCTATGTAGGATTTATTTTTTTCATTTTCCTTTTTAACCTCATCACCCTTCCCAACTGTTGGCTGTGCATGCTCAGATGTAGTAATCAGCAGCATTCAGCTGCTCTAGGGAAGTACTCACACACAAGGAAAAGGATACTGGCTCAGAGATAGCTTATTTGAAAAGCAAAGTCCTGACTTAGGAGTATGGAGTGAAGGGTAGGAAGAGTCAGAAGCAGAAGAGAGGACCAAGGCAGCTGGACTCACAGTGCTGAGGCAGAGAACCTGATACCAGGGAACTGCAAAGGCCTCTGCAAACTCCTTGTCCTTATGCTAAACAGGAAACTGCAAAACAGGGCTGGAAGAAACCACCCCTCTATGGTAAATTCAGCCTGGACCATCAGAAGACGACAAAGTTACCCCTCTACACTCCTGTATTAACACAGCCAGAGTGTGACAAAATACAAGAACTGTTTGACAACCGTGGAAAATTCATTGATCCTTATGGACTACACAAATATGAACCTTTGTGTTTATTTCTGGTTTTAATGAAATAAATACCTGTTTCTGAAAGATGATGTTCTCATAACCAAGAAAATCAAACTCTCCCTCTTTCTCTCCTTCCACCTGAGTACAAAGTCATTGACAAAAAAAATCCTGAAAGCTTGAGACACATAGCCATTTTGTCACCTGTCCTGGAGAACAGAACAGAGGGAGGAATACTTCATACTTCAGCATTTGGGGTTATTTAAACTATAATAAACACAATACAGTCCTTTAACATGCAGTCAACTGCTTCTATTTTAGTTTAGAAAAAAAAGTCTGATGTTTTCATTCAATCCCAATTATGATGACCTTTGTATCTCTGCATCTTTTTGAGCCTGCACCTCTATATTTTAAGATGACATAAATTTATGCTGGTCCAGTTAAAATTACCTATAGAGGAATATAAAGCAGGCAGTAGAAGACACCATTTAGCTCAAACATACAATGGGAAACAAGTAAATGTTTCCCTTTTTTGCCTGTTTTCCAAGCATGCACAATAATCAGGGCAGACATAATGACCATTATATAAAACTGCCTTTGTAAAAAAAAGTATTTTCTAGCAGATTGTTTGGTTTATTATAGTGTTTCTTCAATAATGATCTCATCATGAGCTCAGTTTTAAAAAGACTCTAGGATTTTACAACAATGAATCCAATATATGCATCCCATCAATATTTCCTGTAGTTTTTACTAGCACACAAAGCTGCCCACATTGTTTGCAGTCCTTCAGTTGTTTACCTCTCCCGTGCTAAAGTAATCTACCCATTTTAGCCAAAAACTAAACAAATTAAAAGACTGACAACATCCTGACAGAGTCCTTCCAAGCAACAAAACCAAATCAAGTTAAATGAACTCTATTATGGACTAGGTACTTACATTTTATAAAGTTGAACCCAAACTTAAATAACAAAGAAAATCAATTACTTTATCTAGCACTTGCTACATTATTAATTCCATTGCCTAGAAGATACCCAAAACAAAAGATAACAGGCATTAGGCTGATTTCTAGTAGAAAATCCTTTCCTTGTTGACCAAGTTACCTTATCCCTTCCAAGAGCAAAATATATTCAAACAAATGAACAAACTGACACAAATGAAGGAATGTCTTCTACAATTAACTGGTAATGCCTTTACCCCCTTCCTTCATTTCCCATTTTAATGGCACTGCTCTCTCCCCTGGTGCTCCCTGCTGGAGTACATGATGGTGTGTCATGCCCCTGCACAGCGCCAGAAAACTAGACATGGAAAATTCTAGATTTTCAGAGTTTAGAGATAAGATCTGTCCCCCCAATATTCCTGCCCAAAACCTGCATCTGACCACTAGGAAAAGGCATCAGCACAAACAACAATCCTGCACTGTACACCCAGGCAGAGCTTCCATCAACCAGGTGAGAGAAAAGAGAGGATCAGATGCAGGCAGATCAATTCTAGTCTTCACTGCTTTATCCAACGTCTTGGGCACACCACACAAACCCTTCCTACCCAGCTACCCATCTGCAAAGTGGAAATAGTATCTAGAAATTGCAAATGTGAATTCTAAATCCTGCAGAAATAGAAAAATAATCATCAGGAACTAACCTTGTAACAAATTTACCAAATGCTGTGATGTGTTCTGCATAACTCAGGAATTTTTATTAGCTCTGAATTAAATATTTCTATAAGCATAAGCTTTATTTCTGCTACAGGTTTGGAACTTGAAATATATTAATTCATGTTGACCCTACAGCCACTTGATTGAAAGCCAAATTAGATCACCACTCCCAGCTTTGATTTTGAAAGCACATAGCATCATTTAAGGCCAAACAAGGCATAATGCTCATTCAGCCCATCTTTAAAATAATTTCATTGAAGTTCTGTGCACAATATATATTTCACTCTATCACATTCTAATAAGCACTTAAGCCAAAACTGAAAGCCTAAGTGATAGAAAGATTATCACTGAGCACTAGTGAGTTCCTCACTAGCTATGGTACACAGCAAGCTCTCTATGTGGTCTGCAGCATTCCTAATCCCGTCAAACCATGACAGAAGGAGGAAGTACAGCATCAACTAGGCTAGCTCAGCATGGCAATGCTTCACTTCCTACACCCATCAAAATCATCCCGGATATATTTTTAGTAGTACTCCACATCCCTCTCCAGTGTGCTTCTTGTCAGCCATTCCAGTACAACCTGCAATTCCCAGCCCGCAAAGGCACGTCAATGTCAAAACTCAAAACCCTGGGAGAGCTGTTTGACACACCAGATGTTTGTGCTGCCCTTCAGAGGGACCTGGGCAGACTGGAGCACTGGACACACAGGAATCACATGAAGTTCAATAAAATATATGGCTACTAACCACACAGTGAGACTTGTACACAAAACCGGGGTATTTAGCAGATGTTTATTATCATTGACTAAAGTTTCTTTTCTTCCATTCTTTACAGGTATCACCAGACATTTTACCCATTCCTGTGGGATCAAGAACTATCTCGTGACAACTCCGAGGTGCCCATTTAAATGGTCTTCAATTGCAGTTGTCTTCCTCAGTTGCACCAACATGCAGAACTGACTCTACAGGCAAAACAGCTGTTGCTGCTTCCTCTCACCAAATGCTTTTAGCCTAGACAGGTCCTGCCCAGTCAGCCAGAAAAATCATCTGAAGTGTCACATCATAGCGTGTGATATTATTCTGTGCTCTCCGACATTCCAAACGCAAGACCTCACACTGAAAGGCTACACAAATCACTTCTTCCAGAGCTGGGAAAAAATCCCTACGTGACAAAAACATCCAAGTCATACTACCACATTTCTATACTTAGTTTTCTGTCTCTAAAAATATGTGAACTGCCAAAACCAATCAGTTTTTCTGTATCTTCTGCTACCATTTCCAGAAGGTAGCAGCTAATTCCTGCACTGTGCAGGTCTGTGCCAAGGCACTGACACCAAGATCACACAGGAAAGCTGATACAATCCTTTAACCATGGCTATAACAGCATAATCAATTTAAATGTCACACATCACTCAGACAATTGTTTGATCTCCAGTGTTTAGTCCAACAGCTTCTAAATACATTATCACATACTGCTTTCTTCTAATGCCTAGGATAGCTAATACTAAAAATACTAATCAATGCTTCATGAAAACAATTGCCTGTAGATCTGGCTTGCTCAACAACAGAAATGTTATAATTTAAATTTGTAATTCTATATATTTTTTTAATAAGCGTAATTCTAATGGACTGATCATATGAAAACAAGCTTCCTTTCCCTTTGTTATTCTTACAGACTCTTCAGATATAGCTGCTCCTTCCTCTGTGGACACTCCGTGAGACACTTGACCTGATTTTCTGCAGCACTGAGCACTCATAACTGACTGAGATCACCGGGGGCTACGGGCACTTCGTCACTCATAGGGCAAATAATTATGGGCTGATTGCACAAGACTAAGAGTTAAGGCACTGAATTCTAATGTTAGTCCAATATCTGGATGATTAAGGTCTAAATTAACTACTTGCTCCTTCCCATCTGTCCATTAGGATAACATCAGCTACCCACCAGCCTCATGCCTACCTGCTCTGAACATAAAATACACAAAATGAAAAGGGCTCTATAAAATTACTTCGACTGTCCTCAAGCTGTGAGAATGAATAGATAGAACCTTGAAGACTTCTGTTTCTCTGCACTTGTATTTCCAAAACTTTATCTTGAGGAGATAAACTCAATTGTCTCTTTAAGATGATGCAAGAGCATTGAGAACCATAAAAAAAGCCCATGGAACAAGTTTTGAGAGAGATTTTGCTTATTGTAGAAACTGCAGAATTGAGCCATCCTCCAAACAAAAGACTGAGCAATCAATACAAACTTGCAAAGGACTGAATAATGAAAGGGACAGTATGAGTTATCAAGACAATTAAAGTTATCAAGGTAATTAAACACTTCCCTCCAAAAGCACCATCCTGCTCAGCTGATGCTTACTCAGCTCACTAAAATGACCTAAAACCTCTCGAGGTTTTGCACAGTTGATGTTAGTGGGCCAAGCCATTGCTCTAGGAAGCTCTAACACCCCTGTGCACAGGAAAGCAACAGGAGAGTACGGCTGGACACAGAGCAGACTGAAAGGGGATGACTTCTTCTGCCATGTGTAATAAGTGTTGCAAAGGCAATGGAGAGGGAGAATAAAGAGTCTTTCTCAGCAGTGGGTTTTACTGCAGCAAGGAAAACTCAGGTAAGACACGTACAAACCAGGTAAGGACTAGTGAAGCTCTCCAACAGTTTGCTCAATCAAATGTGAATTACCCACCACTGAATATTTTTGCTTTTCCCAAGTAGCTGGATCATGTTTGTCAGGTGCAACAGGCAAAGTCTGTGGTGCAAGATTATTCCGAGGAGCTTGAAACAGCTGGGAAAAACCAGACAAGGCTTTTGGGACACAGCCTGTTTTGGGTCTGAAAACATGGCACAACCAGAACTGTGCCTGCTGGAGGGAAAGGCTGGGGACTAGGCCAACACTCTATACCCTTTTGTACCTCCATCTCTTCTAATGTTTCTGAGACTTTCACCTTCAATCAAACCCAAGTGTGACAATAATTAAAACTAAATCCAGTGATTAAATTCACACTCAAGCACTGCAGTGAGTGCTCATTCCCAGAAAATAATCCACATCTAGAGGAAGGCAGGAATTCCATGTAGAGTCAGACATACAGAGGGCCAGAGAGGCTGCAGATATTCATCTCTGCAGCACAAAGCACAGCAGGCCAGGAGCTCACACTGTCTGCAGGCACACCAGAAGCACCGTTAATAGATTTTTATGCTACCTCAGAAAAGTGTTTACTCATCTGTAATTTTCCTCAGCAGTGGACATCTGGTGTTCTATTATTCATTGCATCTGGAAAATTGCCAACAATAAAACCAATTTTCACAAAAAGGAAGCAAAGCCTGACATGCAGAATGCTGGAATAAAGGAAAAAACTCTCAGAATGGTTCACATTTTTGTTCTCTTTGTCTTTTTTTTTCTCCTCATATAGGGGACTCTGAGTAGAAAAGCCAAAAGAATCTGCAGAACATTTTTTCCAGATTATAAAAGAAAACAAGTATTTTGAAGTCACATATAAATTTAAAACTCTGGGAAATGACTGATTCTGGTACTCATTTGAACCTATGGGGGAAGTGCACAAAGGCTAGATGAAAATAAGGTCACTAAAATACTATCTTAGCTGCTAAGAGAAAGGATATTTAATGGTTAATATAGAGACTTGTATGTATCAAGTAGAAGAAAATGTAGGACCATTTTAACGTGTAATATTCCACCCATTTGCTGATAGGCACCTTTAATACTCTCCTCAAAAGAACACAAATGCATAATGGTTCTTCAAAGGAAGGAGGTGGTGTTGAGGACTTTGTTAAAGCATTCCCACCATTGAGAACTGATCCTTCAGGAAGCCAACATCTCAGACTCTGAGCTTGGAGGAGCAGCTCCATCAATTCTGTCATTGCCAGACCTGTCAAGACCCACAGCCCTGCAAAGATGACCCAATCCAAGACCCTGAAACAGCAAAGATTTCTGGGCATGATCTCAGAGTGAGTGAGGCACTGAAAGCCTCTCCTCAGTATTCACACGTACTCCACAGATAAGCCATACAAAGTTTTAGGCTAAGAGTCTTTCAGTGCTATCAGTTTAGGAACTGGAAGATCCTGGTGTACCAGTTTTCCAGAGTCCAGGCAATTCAGCAATGCTCCAATGACAAAACCCCATGGATTCCTGGACTGCCTGTCTAACAACAGCTTGGAGGCTCAGTGTAACCCTCAACTTGATGTAGCTAATTGACACCTGTTCCACTACAGCTCCTTGTTCACTCAAATATATTTTTGTGAATATTTAAAAACTATACTTCATGTTTTAAACTGCTCAGAAGTGATGTTGCATTTAAAAAAAGGATTAGTAAATATCTAATAAGCATTTTATAAGGAGCCTAATGCTATCTCTCTGCAGTGAGGCAGTTAAAGTATCCTTGCTTTCAGTAACCATTTTTACTAGCATTACGTGGACAAGGGTTCCACTGATGCTTTTCATTTAAGCAGGAATAAATTTCAACAGGAAATATAAGAAAGCCATTTTTCTTCCATTGTTGATTATTTTTAGCCCAAGTAACTCTGTAAATGATCTTTTTAAAAAATCCCACTTGCTTTAGCATAAAAGAAACTCCACAGATTTTTTTGATTCTTGACATTCCGTGGGACTACTGACAGAATATATGGATGTACCACAGAGAGGGGGTAATTTCCATATCCTTCCCATATCCACTAGCCAGAGAACCTAAATTATAAACAGCTGAAAAGCTCCTCCTAAAAAAGAATTTGTGAAAACTGAACAAGAGCCAAAAAAAAAAGGAGCAGAGGTAAAAGATTAGGTATCAAAAAAAGATCATTATATATATATATATATATAAAAATTACAGAATCAGCCTCTACTTCTCAACCCCAAAAACTTTTTGACAAAATTCGACCTGATATCAAACCAGACACCCTCCACCTACATCTTGCACCACAACAATCCCTCTTCTGAACAATCCACAACTTGCAGCCTTTCGAGGAAAAAACCACCCTAAATCCTACCATGTCCCCAGACACCAAAGAAAAAGCTGTGAGTAATCCCAAACCCTGTCAATAGCAAAACAAGCAGGCAGCTCTAACTTGGTGGTTTTTCATTAGAATTTGCATCAAATTCTCCTCCCAGTAAATGAATCAACAGCATTCTCCTATACCAGGAATTTTCATATGTGTTCCCTGAGACTGAGAGGCTGTGCAGGTCCTTAATCCAAGGAGACCAGATGGAAAAAACCCCCATCAACACACATTAAAATATTCCATTCTTCACTCAGTGAGCTGGTTACAAGACAAACTACACTGCATCCATAAACTACATAATTTAAATCTTCCCTCCATCAAACCATCAGTGCTACCACAAACTCAGTATGTCAGATCACCAGTTTCCCATTGACCACATTTTGCCTTGAAAGAACAATAACTCTGGAGTCCACGTGCTGCTAAATAGCCCCAATCCATCCTAATCTGACATTGCTCCAGTCTTAAGGCAGTGGACGAGACCCACAAACAGGCTGAAATCCTCCTGGGCTGACTTCAACAAAGATTATAAAGGTGCAACCAAGCCTACTCTTCTTCTGAAGCATTCAGGTGACATGTATTTTTCCTCTGAAAACTCATACACTTTCGAAGCTATCCAATGTGTGACACCAAACACTATCAGACCGTTCCCAAAGCCTACACTGAGACTGGTTTCCTGTCCTGCAGGCCAACACCTCCTGTCACGAAGCCAAAACATGAAACTCAAACAAGTCATAAAGTGGAGGCAGTGCCCCAAGATCCTGGGCGTGTGCTGTGAGCACTGCACCTGCACTGAGCCAAGAGAACCTTCCCAAAGACTCCCTCACACAAAAACCAACCAACATTGCTGCACAAACCTCACTGACAGCACGTCCTCCATTAGTACACATGGCACAGCTTTTGACCTGTAGCAGCTGTACAGTCAAATCCTTCACTGCAAAAGCATACATTAAAAAACTTCTTCTCATTTGTCTTAAAACAACCCAACCACCATAACAAAGTCGTGAGGAAAAGCACATTTTTTTCAATGGACACACACAGCCATGCTGGAGCTAGAAATAAAAAGTCTTGGAAGCATGTTTCCCAGGTGATGTCATGTTGCAACCAAAACATAAACCTAAATCCACAGGCTAACACAATTCCCCAAACCCCAATGGATTCTCCAACACTACACAGTTGAACAGCAAGGATAAGCAGCAAACAGGGAAATTATGATGTGCATGAAGAACAAAACCATTCCACTCCTAAGTTCTCACTCCTGATCCAAAACACTTAGGAAGGTGCATAGCTGGAAAATAAAGATTCATGTTCATTTTAAATACTTGACTCATAAGGGAAAGTGGCTTTATCCCAATTAGTCTCCTCCATCCCTAACTTATCTCTCTGCCCCACCTCAGCAGAGCTCACAGCAATAAATTGCTTTCTACCTGTACTGAGCTTGAGGACTGTGGTTTTATTTCAGTCTAAAGCAGTGTGATCCAGGAGCTTGCCTGCTTTTTCACAGCAATGTCAACTGACATAAAAAATACATTACCTGTACCTACAAGCCTTTCCTGATTGAGATGAGACGGGGGAAAAAAAGAATCCAAGGACTGGAGAAATAAACAATAAGCTAAAATAGGGATAGCTACCCACCAACATTTCCTAATGACCTCCATAACACAGAAATCACAAGAAATAATACGAAATAGGAACTAAGTTATTATCAAGTACTATGCACAACTGGCAACAGTTCTGTAATTGGCGAAAAAGCAAATATCAATAGGGAAAAGACAAATTAGCACCTGGGAAAAATATTTATTTTAGCTCAGTAAATAATCCTGAAAGCTTTTATCATTCAGAAATTAATCTTGATTTGTCAAAAACCCTAGGAAGACTAGCTAGGAGATACAAAACTGCTTGCTGTTTGTTATTTAAAAATGTCCTGCATAGCACAATAAACGCATTAAAAGAGAAACTTTCTTGGGGAAAAAGATGTTTTAAAAAAACCCTCAAAATCTCTTCCATTGCTTTTTCATTGTTCCAGGTACAGGAATGAGGAGTGTACAGATGGAAGATGATGATCATACTGTGTGGAACCAGTTGAGAGTCCAGTTCCCAACTGGACAAACTGACAAACCAAACAAGCGTTATCAGAAATACAAGGAGGTGAGGCAAGAACACAGAAACCAGTGCATGACCCGGACAAGAAGCTAATTCAGTTTCCTTTCTTAAGGACTTCACATCATCCAACCAGGCTGTTTGCCCTCCACATCCTGACAATTTCTGGCTGTGCTGCCAAACACCAACAGGGCTGACAGAAGGACAGGTACCTCAAAAGGGGATTTTTGAAAGAAGGCACTGGCTGAGCCCAGTGCTCTGGAGCAGGTGGAGGTGGGGGACCAGGATCTGCAGACGCTTTTTTCCTGTTTATCAGACACACTTTTGTCCTGCTCAGAGCCCACGTGCCCTGCCCAGCCCAGTCCAGGGACGGGCTGAGCTGATGCTGTAACAGGTGTAGAGCACAAGGACACAGGTGAGCTGTGGATTTACTGCACTGCAGCACAGAGCAGGATCACCAAAATGTGCTTTGCTAACTGCACTGACCACACTAGAGCTGATTTCCCACCGTCTTCCTCACTACCCTTTGAGTGTTTTCCCTCCTGACTCAATACAAATACTCTACTTTGAAGGCATGGTGATGACTCAGTCTTCAAAGCTATCACTTATTTACTTCAATACTCTAAATTGCAAACACTGATGCTTTCCTTTATAACTGTACCATGCATTGCTTACAGAAATACAGGAGCACCTCTTTTTATTTCTGAAGAGTTATTTGACAAGCAGATGACAAAAACTGGAATTAGTGTGACAGTGTCTGAGCAAGCATTGCTCATTTTTGTGCTCCCAAATTTAAAGCACAGCCAAAAATACCTTCTCCCTTTAACAATGACAGCAGTCTTTCCCTCTAGACAAGGATGAATTTTTTGATCTGGGAAATATTTACTAAAACAACTGATTGGACTAATGCAGCAGTTTTCAGCCTAATAAAATAGCTTAGCTAAAGCTTAGCCAAAATTGACCACTTAAAAAGAGACAGAAGAAAGATCACGCCTCCCCTGGAAAGGCTGCCATCAGATGAAGGCTGCTCCATGATGCTGGTAATGAAGATATCAACAATTCCAGTATGAACTGCCAGAGTGCTTTATTTTTCTAAAGATATCCAAACAGAGATGAAACCCTGTGGTACTGGAAAACTGGAACATGGGCTTTGCCAGCAGCCTAAACCCGTTACCCTCCCATAGGAAATAAATAAGGTACCAAACCTCTTCCCCACCAGATCCTCAAAAATAGCTAACCTTGACTGTGAACTGAGGAAAGAATCCAAGCATTAATCACCAGAAGAAATGCAGAGTAGCTGCAGTGAGCTGCCTCACAGGTAGCAGGCTAACAGATGAAATCAAGAGCCACAAACCAACATCTCTGAGCGACTCAAGAACAGGAAAAACGTGGGATCCTGAAGCTATCCTGATACAACCAAAACTTGCTTAGAAACGTGCTGGGGATTTAGAGGCATCTGCCTGGTTTGTGCCTGTGCAAGGTCAGAGCTCTATTCAGGATAGAGTGGT